ACAACGATTCCATGTGGATATTGTAAAACAATACAGTTTAGCAAAACATTCTCGCTATGGTTAGTTAGCACATACTAAGTCAGCTGTTGTTTAGTCTGGTATTGTGTATTTGTAACACTTGTGCTGCAAAAACTTTTCGTCGATGACCTTCTTTGAAAGAACGAATCATTCTTTTGAGTCAGATCTTTTCAGTGAACTTTTTGAACAGTTTTATCAAATGAGTCTGAAAGATTTGTTCACTACACTGAAAAAAAAAAAAATTTTTTTTTTTTTACATTTTACAAGAAAGTAAGTTTCAGTATTTATACTTAAAACTTTCACATTAATTCAATATGCTTCCTTTTTTTGGTAATTATTTGTGAAATTTACTAGCAGTTTCTGAGTGAAATTAAAGTCCTACACCAATTTGTTTTTCAGTCCCGAGTTCTCGAGGTAACAACTCAGTGACTCACTGAACCAGTAACTGACTCTTTCAGACATATTTAGCAACCTGTGGTATTGAAATATTAATGATATTTTCATAATATTGTATAAATGATATAAGAAACCAAGCTGATATTCAGTGTTTGGGGAGTAATTTTGAGATTTGGCTTATAGAAGAAAAAATCATCTTTATAGGTGATCAGCTAAAATGTTAAATTATTTAAAATTATTAGAAATTACATAATTATTTTTAAAAGATGCAACTGTCACAACTACGCTGTATTAAATGCATGAAAACGAAGAAGGTTTATAAAGTCTTTACTCCAACACACACGGTAATCCAAGACACAGGGTAGCATAAACCAGACGTTGACAAGACCGGACCAATTAGAACTGAACTCACAGGAACTTAAATACACAGACCAAACAAGGATAATTAACTACACACACCTGAACAGAATGACACAATTAACTCAATGAAGGGGAACGTGCATGATGAAAACAAAGTCCAAACTGAATGACATGAGACAGCAACACCTTTTTCAGTCAAGATCAAAATCAATGATATTTGCAGTGCAAATATTGGGAATGCAAATTATATTTAGGCTCTAAATTATGAACACATTGAAGTACTATAAACACCCTTATTAATATTAATTAAAAATAATATTCAATTGTAATTAATATTAATTTAAAAAATCATAATAAATGATAACATTTTCCTACATGTGGCATTTTTGATAAGTTGAACATGTAATATCCCATACCAGGATGTCAGGAAACATGTGGTGACATCAAAGAGCCACTGAATCAGTTCATTTGAAACAACTGTTCAAAAGAACCAATTAGCAGAAATGAATCAGACTTCCCATTACTATTTTTGAATCTAAATCACGGAGCACAGTCTGCCAATGCAGAACCATTTTAAACACCCATCTGTTGTCCAGAACTATATCTCGTTCCTTCTTTCTCTTTGTTTTCTGTATGAATTGGCAGTCATCTTTACGTTATGTGATTTTTTTGACCACGGCCAAATTCTTTTTAACACAACAGATTTCTAAGCACAGCCAAGTTCTTTTCAGAACAATGGATTTATATATTGCCCAAGCTCTATTTAAGCGAAATGGCCTATGTAGGCACGCAAAGCAGCTGTGTACCAAAGACATGCAAATGGATTTAGGGTTTTTTAGCACCTCTGTTGATTTCAGCTTTTCCACAGTGAGCTTCAAGAGTGAATGTTCAGTGGAGTATTGTGCTTGGATATAAGGTGAGCATTGAGCTCCATTGAAGTTACGTACTTGTGTGAGCACACACTGACTAACTGTCTGCTTAAAATGAGTCCGGTCCCCAGGGTGTAAATGACTGGCATAGGGTTGATGGCCTGGTGTGCCGTGTTATTTCCTCAAAGCATTAATAGCATTCATGGCGATCCAGCGGATCACAGTGTGACTGCGTCTGGGCTGCATCTTCAGCAGAATCACCTGGACTTAATCAACACTCTTGTCTGTGGCACAGATTGTTCTCTCGTTAAGTTTCAGTTTCAATTTACCTTATAACACTGGTCTAAATCAGTCATGAATATAAAAGCAGTCATGATGTGCTATTGCCTTACTGTGTAAATGAAATCGTATTTAATATTATATAATATTATATAATTAAAAAAAATAGTTGTGCTTTCAGCAGTCGTGGATCATAGCATACGCTCATATTTTCTTCAGAAAATATACATATTTATTATTATTATCATCATTATTATTATTATTATTATTTTGGCAGTGTACATCAATGAAGGGGAACGTGCATGATGAAAACAAAGTCCAAACTGAATGACATGAGACAGCAACACCTTTTTCAGTCAAGATCAAAATCAATGATATTTGCAGTGCAAATATTGGGAATGCAAATTATATTTAGGCTCTAAATTATGAACACATTGAAGTACTATAAACACCCTTATTAATATTAATTAAAAATAATATTCAATTGTAATTAATATTAATTTAAAAAATCATAATAAATGATAACATTTTCCTACATGTGGCATTTTTGATAAGTTGAACATGTAATATCCCATACCAGGATGTCAGGAAACATGTGGTGACATCAAAGAGCCACTGAATCAGTTCATTTGAAACAACTGTTCAAAAGAACCAATTAGCAGAAATGAATCAGACTTCCCATTACTATTTTTGAATCTAAATCACGGAGCACAGTCTGCCAATGCAGAACCATTTTAAACACCCATCTGTTGTCCAGAACTATATCTCGTTCCTTCTTTCTCTTTGTTTTCTGTATGAATTGGCAGTCATCTTTACGTTATGTGATTTTTTTGACCACGGCCAAATTCTTTTTAACACAACAGATTTCTAAGCACAGCCAAGTTCTTTTCAGAACAATGGATTTATATATTGCCCAAGCTCTATTTAAGCGAAATGGCCTATGTAGGCACGCAAAGCAGCTGTGTACCAAAGACATGCAAATGGATTTAGGGTTTTTTAGCACCTCTGTTGATTTCAGCTTTTCCACAGTGAGCTTCAAGAGTGAATGTTCAGTGGAGTATTGTGCTTGGATATAAGGTGAGCATTGAGCTCCATTGAAGTTACGTACTTGTGTGAGCACACACTGACTAACTGTCTGCTTAAAATGAGTCCGGTCCCCAGGGTGTAAATGACTGGCATAGGGTTGATGGCCTGGTGTGCCGTGTTATTTCCTCAAAGCATTAATAGCATTCATGGCGATCCAGCGGATCACAGTGTGACTGCGTCTGGGCTGCATCTTCAGCAGAATCACCTGGACTTAATCAACACTCTTGTCTGTGGCACAGATTGTTCTCTCGTTAAGTTTCAGTTTCAATTTACCTTATAACACTGGTCTAAATCAGTCATGAATATAAAAGCAGTCATGATGTGCTATTGCCTTACTGTGTAAATGAAATCGTATTTAATATTATATAATATTATATAATTAAAAAAAATAGTTGTGCTTTCAGCAGTCGTGGATCATAGCATACGCTCATATTTTCTTCAGAAAATATACATATTTATTATTATTATCATCATTATTATTATTATTATTATTTTGGCAGTGTACATATTTATTTGTAATAGTATGTTATGAGGTTTAGGCAAGAAGAAATGTATAGATAAATAGCATTTATTATTTTCTTAGGGTTATGGATATGTATGTCTCTGAGCGTTAGATGGTGACAGTAGGACCATACCTGCTAAGAGAGCACTGCTGTCAAACCAGGACTTAACTTAAACCCTTATGTTTGAATATATGTGGGAAAGTCATCATTAAAGTATACAGGAGCGGTGTGCCTTCCTGAAATAGTTTGCTGTCATGTTATGATTGATTGCCTGCCATCTGCAACATCTTAGTGTCAACGTTAGTGTCTTTGGTGACATAAGTGTCTGTGGGACTGTTTGAGTGATAGAGGGTTTGGGGTGAACATTCATGTAAGCAATACATCCTTAAAGCTTTTAAAGGTTTATTAGCAGAGAACTGATATGCATCTGAAGTTGAATCTGACCATGACCAGGAATGCTGCTACCTAAGTCTTTAAAAAGACAGCAAGGAAAAAAGATGCAAAAAGTGAAGCAAAGAAAGAGATATAGGAATGTTCACATTGCCATACTGCTATACTACTTCACATGGCATGGACTCCACAAGACCTCTGAACGTGTCCTATGGCATCTGCACCAAGAAGCAGCAGAACCTTTAAGTACTGCAAGTTGCAAGGTGGAGCCTCCATGGATTGGATTTGTTGGTCCAGCACATCTCATAGATGTTCAGTTGGATTGAGATCTTGGGAATTTGGAGGCTAAGGCAACACCTTGAACTCTGTCATGTTCCTCAAACCATTCCTGAACAATTTCTACACTGTGGCAGGTGCATTATCCTGCCGAAAGAGGCCACCATCATCAGGGAACACTACTGCCATGACCGGGTGTTTGTAGTCTGCAACAATCTTTAGGTAGGTGGTATGTGTCAAAGTAACATCCACATGAATACAGCCTGCAGGACCCAGGGTTTCCCAGCAGAACATTGCCTAGAGCACAACACTGCCTCCACCGGCCTGCCTGCTTCCCATAATGCATACTGCTGGCATCTGTTCCCCAGGTAAATAACGCACACACACCCAGTCACCCACATGATCTAAAAAAAAAGTGATTCATCAGACCAGGCAACCTTCTTCCGTTGGTCCAGTTCTGATGCTCATGTGCCCATTGTAGCTACTTTCGGCAGTGGACAGGGGTCATTATTGGCACTCTGACAGGTCTGTGTCTATGCAGCCCCATAAGCAGCAAACTGCAGTACACTGCATGTTCTGACACCTTTCTATCATTGCCAGCATGTAGTTTTTCTGCAAGCTGAGCTATAGTAGCTTTCCTGTGTGATCGGGCCAGCCTTCATGGATCAGATTTGTTGGTCCAGCACATCCCATAGATCAGGGGTGTCCTGAAGACCAGTGTCCTGCTGAGTTTAGCTCCAACCCTAATTAAACACACCTGAACCAGCTAATCAGGGTCTTCAGGATTGCTAGAAACGTTCAGGCAGGTGTTTTGGAGCTAGTTGAAGCTGCGCTCTTGCAGAACAGTGGCTCTCCAGGAGTGGAGTTTGAAACATGTGCCTTAGATGCCCAATCGGATTGAGATCTGGGGAATTTGGAGGCCGAGGCAAACCTAGAACCCCTTTTGTCATGTTCCTCAAACCATTCCAGAACCATTTTTGCAGTGTGATAAGGAGCATTATCCTGCTGAAAGAGGCCACTGTCATCAGGGAACACTATTGCCATGAAGGGGTATACGTGGTGTGCAACAATCTTTAGGTATGTGGTACTTGTCAAAGTAACATCTACATGAATGCCAAAACCGAAGCTGGTTTTAATGATGTGGCTCATCAGTGTTTGTTGTGCAATATCTAGTATGCTCTAGTATCCCATTGCGATCATAGTAAATGAGAATGGGTTGCAGACTGGTGCTCAGTAGAGAGTGACACAGCGTAGGCTGTACTGCTTGTAAATCCAAATTGAAATTATAAAGTTTCACTTAGGTTTCAGACGTGTCACATGAGCCATTGTATCTTTAGCCAAACTACTGCCACAAATGATCTGGCACCGGAGAGAAGTGGCATATGGGTGGTAACTTCCCGTTAGTGTGGCAAGCTTTCACCACATCAATGAGATATGACTGTTTCTCATTAATCACATATTTATTTGAGACGCATATGCTATATTTTGTATCCAAAAACATGGCAGACACACAGAGCACTAAAATAACACACTTTGTTCTTTTTATTCCCTAACTCTTCACATAGAGCCAGAGTTTGTATCACCCTTCCGTGGGAAGGAATTGTTTTCTCTGTCTCTCCATCTGGCTCCACCAGAATTCATTTTTTCCAGCCTCATATAGTGTTTTTTTTTTTTTTTTGTCCCCCTATATGTGATAAGTTATTGTGGGTCTGTATGATTTTAAGTTGGTTTAATATGAAACAAGGACAGTGGGACCCCTTTAAAAACGTTGTAAAATGACACCAGCTGCACAGTGGTCAGGGGCACAGCTGGTTATTTTTTTCAAAACTCTGTATTAACAAATACAGCGGGAAAATCATGACCGATCTTTTGACAAATTTCTATAGGTCATAAGTGTCTTATTTTTTGTTCTCTTGCCAAAGTGTGCAGAAGCACATGCTATTGAACAAACTTTGATGGACTGTGGTTGAGTCTGAACAATAAGAGAGTCTCTAGGGTGAGCCAATGTGAAATAATTAAACCTGAAAGTGTTTCTTTCCTAGTTACATGGCCACTGAGTTAATGCCAGTGCATTTAAAGTAGCATTTAAACTCAAAACATTACCATAATTGCCATCCACAATTATTACCATGTTGCCATCCACAATTGTTTTTTTAAATGCAATTTTACAGCAGTTATTCAAAAAGTGACGTACTTCATGTTCTTGTTAAATATTTGGCTTACGTTGGAAATAAATTGTTGGAAATGCACTACAATATCACATTTTGAAGTAAATGGGTTGTGAATTTTTTTTTTCTTTTTCAAAATATGTCTTATTTAACAGTTGTAACTTTATTTCTTACAATTGAGGCTATTACGGTTTGATTAAATTTTTCACAGTTGCGACTGTTTCTTGCAGTGTGACTTATTTTACAATTGCGTCTTTCTGGCAATGTGACTCCATATGTCTGAATTGTGACTATTTCTCAAAATGTGACTTCTCACAACAGTAACTTTATTTCCCTCAGTTCTGACTATTTCATGCAATCTCACGGTTGCAGCTATTGTATTTCTCACAATTGTGACTTTGTCATTGTGACTTTATTTACACATTTGCAGCTAATTTAATTTACATTTGCAAATACTTCCCACAATTGTATTTTTTGTAATTGCGACAATATCTCAGAATTGTCATAGCAACATTACTGTCTCACATTTGCAATTATTTCTCTCAACTGCAAATATATCCCGTAATTGCAATTTTATTTGCAATTACGATTATATGCAATCTCACAGTTGCGACTACTTGTAACATTAGAGTCCACTGTAGGCGAGTTGTGATGAAACCCAAGTGCAGTTTATTGATATCCAGAAGTGTACAGACTTGACTTGATCATACTTGGCTTGACAAAGAAACATGAAATGAACTTGAACTCACCAACAGCATTTATCGAAAACCAAGCTAGACAGTGGACAATGGCAACATGAGGGCTGTATAAATCAAACAAAGGGGGTCACATGACACAATCCAACCAATGAGAACAAGACACATGAACTAGACAACCAATCAGAACATGACACACAGAACAAAGAAACCAATAGCAGGATCACATGAGGGCAAGCGAAACACATGACATGACAGGAACCATGACTGTGGAGAAAAAAAACAAAATAAAAGACATGAAAACATGAACATAAACCAACATTATACTACGTTTCTCATAATTGTGTGATGATCCTGCATTTGCAATAGTCTCGCAATTGTGAATATTTTTCAGTTGTATGAAAAATTCCCGTTGTAATCACTTTCTCATATTTGCAACTTTATTTTTTTTACTTTCTCATAATTACCTGTGGTATATTTTACTTTGAGCTTCCATATTTCACAAAATAGTTGAATGAAGGTAGCTTTAGAGTTTCACAGTCTCAAAATAAAGATATCCGTATGCTGTGTATGAACTTATTTGTTTCTGTAAATCATTCCATGCCTTTGAGTGTCTTTCTCACTCCACTGTATCTACACAAATAGAAATATTAAGTTTGGCTGTCAGCTAAAATATTAATGGTAAAGCACAAGCGTTCTTCCAAGACTACCCCACTTCACTGGAATTCCACTATCCAGGGTCCTGAAGGTTTTTTTCCTGTCAGTAGTGGGATGGGCTCTGGACTCGGCTCAGGAACAGTGGATAAAAAGAGGTTGTTTTTGTTACCTTTTGGCTGATGTAGAGAACGGAGCCGGAATCCTGTCCTATTCTCGATTTCTCCCCCTTTCCTTTCCTGTATCTTCAGGTCCCCAGTAGTTCATGGTAAAAATAAAACGGCACTAAGCCTGGCACTGTGCTCAAGCAGTAGTTAAAGCTGATAGATCACTGCTGGCTTGGTGCCTGGAGCATGGATTTATGGGTCTTAGGGGATCTTGGGAACCCCAAGATGTGGAGCTTGGCGCTAGGTACGGATGCAGGAGAGAGTAGGGAGGGTGTTGTGGTTGGGTGGACATGAGGTGTGCGCTTGTATGAACACGCAGTTCCTGGCATATTTTCACATGTCTGTCAAGATATGCAGCAGTGTGTACTAAGAAGAAAGGAGTCCTTCTAGCTATACTGTATATGTAAGTATATTAGTTGTGATTTTATTTATATACGATTAGTTTATTTATTTATTTTGACCATCACTTGAGCATGATTCATCTACCATCTGGAACGCATTGTTTTCTGTTTTAAACAGCTGATAATCATCGCAAACGGATCACATTTACATAATGTTAAACATTAAGAAACTGTCCGTTGATTGTCATTCTAAATGTTGTTCTAAACTGGCAACGTATGTGTGCTTTCACGGATGTCTTTCATACTTTCAATGGGTAAATCTCACAAAACCTCTCAAGATCATGTTTGGGTGGTATTTTAGCACAAAATCAAAAGAAAGAAATCGGAAATTATATTTTGTTTTAAGAAAATATTTTTTTTAAAATTTGCTTTAAGAAAATATTTTTTGCATTTTAATGACATTTAGGGTGTACTCACACTAGGCGTTTTGAACCGTGCCCGAGCGCGTTTGACTAGTGTGAGCATTCCGTGCCGCGCTCGGGTGAGGTTCGTTTAGTCATCCCTGGCCCGGTTGGAAAAGGTAGGCCAGGGCATGTTTCGGTTGTGCTCGGGCGCGGTACGCATTCAGTGTGAGCGCTAACCGCGCCAGAGCACGGAACAGATACTGTTTTGTGTGCGCTACTGTCATTACGACCGCAAACATATTCTGTTACTACTACTACTACACTACACTTCAATTAATTTAATTCAATCAAGTATATTTAGGTTTATAATGGCTCTGGTTCTCACCTTATTGATGAACAGGAAATGTAGTTTGCGAGTTAAGCGGCAAATTATTTAATTAACGTCAGCTGCCTCAGTAATAATTCTCTGATACATACAAGTGAAAATCAATGCCCAACATAAATTATAAATTAATTATTCGGAAGAATATTAGCAAAAGTGGTTTTCTCCGTTATCTCATACATGACGTAAGCGTGCTCCGGCCTGGAAAGTTTAGTGCAAGTGTGAGTGCAGGCCAGTGGGGGAGTGGGGAGGGGGGATAATCGCGCTCGGGCTCGGTTCAAGGCAACCGTCCATTGTTTCAGATCGTTAGTTCGCATTTTGGTAGTCTATCCATCCACTGCGGCTGCCATACTGAAACTAGATCACAGTCTATGGACTTAGACTAGATATTCGAACGCCCCTTATCCGATTGCAATCCAATGACAGGGACGCACATTTTTATATAATCACACTCGGTTCAAGGCAACCGTGCCTAGCGTGAGTACACCCTTAAACACATTTCTGTGGAAGCTTGTTTAATCCACAGGATGGATGGATAGATTTTTTTTTTTTCCGCAGAGTAAACAAGTTTACATAAAAATGTGCTTAAATGTCATTTAAAAACATCGAAAATGTTCTACAAATGTGCTTTATTTTCTTAAAGCAAAATATGATTTTTATTTCTTTCTTCTGATTTTGTGGCAAAATATGACAACCCTCACACACGCCAAAACACACACACACAAATTTAAATAGCAAGATTTAAATTCTGTGGGGAAAAAAAATAATTTTTGAACCATTTGTTGTACTGCATTTAATACTACCATTGCATTGTAGTATTTGTTTTTTAAACTGTAATGAGAATCATTAAGAATATCATTACAAAATGTATCTTAATTACCTTACTTTAAAAATTAGTTTATCATGAAAACAATGTCAGTGCACCTTATGACATATTCTGTAAGATTAACCCATAAATACCATACATTAGACATACTACTGTATGACCTAGTCTATCACCTATTCTGCAGTGGAAAGCAAGAGCATTAGCACGGAGAGGTTTTGGTGGGATTATCGGAGAGGTTACGGGGTCAGAGAGGGAGGGTCAGCCGAGGCGGGGTGCTGGAATCCAGGGTAAATCAGGTCTGTCGCTTGGCCCCTTTACCCACGGACAGGTGAGCGACGTGGAACAATGAGGACTTTGTGAGAGAGCAGGACAGGTGCACTATTCACCTTCACAGAACCTCACGCTACACGGCAGTGCTCTTGCCTCCATGTCTCTCGTTT